TACACCCGCGCCCCACACAGGTTCCACCCGCGCGCCTCATTCGACCGCGACAGCATCGCCACTCGGTATAATCCCACGCCCCCTGCGCATCCCGCCCCCGCCGCGCAGGCCGCCCTCCTCCTTACACGCCTCGCACGCCGTCTCCATCTCGCTCCCCCGTACGTTGCGCCCGCACGCGGGTCCACCCCGCGCAAATTCAGCTGCTACGTCAGACGCGCTGACGCCGCCGCAGACCCATGCAGACCGTCTCACCGCCAGCGCCCCCCGAGCGCCGCTGCGTAGACATGCGCCTACTGTGCGCTGCCGGACACGTATTTGCTCTTCAAGCCGTCGCAAACACCCCCCGCCGCCGCTTCTGAATTGTGCCTTGCACAGTTTGCAAGCTAACCGGCGTGCCGGGCACGCGCGCGTGTGGACACGCCTGTGCGAGCCGCCGCCCCGGGCGTGCCCGCACGCCGTGCCATGTCGCTCGTGTCTACGGAAACGGTTTAGATGTGGCGCGGCGGCGCCATGACAGCTGTTGCCACCTGCGTGCATCGCCCCCCCGCCCTTACTGTACCATTAGAGGTAAGCTGCATGACACCGCTCCCCTTGGGAGCAGTCGCTTGTTGCTTCCACAAATTCCACGGCTGCCTGCTCCCACACCCGTCGTCGCGCTCGCCATCATCTGCATGTTGGTTCGTGCACGCACCAGACTTCAGCCATGAGTTCGTGTATGGAGCTGAACCGCACCTGAAATGTGTCCGCCAATACCCTAGTTCGCCACACTCTCTGCCGGTCAAAGTTTGTTGTTCGTTTGGATGTCAACGCCTTTCGCACCCCCTTTCTGTATCACTATTAAATTCATGTTCGTTGTTTGTAGAGAATTGTCCCCCTAATCTTCACTACTCTATTCTTCATCCCTGTTCCATCTCAACACACGTAAGCGAGTGACGATTGGAACACCACTTGCATCGCGTTCATTTCATAGGAGGTACACACACTGTACAATACTGTCCTGGCCTTCTGTCTTTAGGAACGCTCTTTTCTCACAAAAAGAATGCACATCCAATACGCCATTCTTCACCTTTTTCCTCAAGCATCCCCACCAAAATTGACCAACAAAGAGAAAGTCCCAGACATTCTGGATGAACCCTCCATGAACACTGCCTTTTGTGCAGTGCTCAACATACTTCCCACACGCTCGTGGCAAAGAGCCTCTCCCTCATTCACGCTCGCTTACGTTTCCACACGGGTCCAGTTGCATCAAACATGATGAAAGAACAACAACTGTCCTCTTCAGTACTCTGCTGTGTAGTACAGTAACCCCAGGATGCCGTACGTGCGCAGATTTCAAGATCCGGTTAGTCTTCACAATTTTCCTCTCAACGTCCCTGCGCCACCCAACCAGGTTGCGCTACATACGCTTTCCTCCTGTCCTTGCTTTCTATCATGCCCACCTCTGGTCGCTTCAGCCGACTGCCCATCACCTTAAAAGTCTGTACAGCATCGGGATGCTTGTGAGGATGTCACGAGCGATGTCACAGACAAAATAGCCGCGAGCGATCTCTCGAACTACTTCTTCTTTGGTACTGCTGGGAACGGCACCGAGAGCAACTCGCTTGAAAGCCGTTCTTCAACACATATGTCATCCAGACTCGAAACATAAACTGCAGAGACAAATTCAAAAGACACACAAAATCTTCACTATATACGGAGGCACAACCCTCGTCGTGTCGCTCCCCATCAAGCGCGACCCGCGTAATCTGATCAAACGTGACACCCTCCAAAGTCCATTCTTCATGCAACTCCTCCACATCAACTAAGCATCTCTCCGCTAATTCTTCCGACCCCTTCACTATGTAACACAAAACATCATCATCAAAGTCGTACGGATCTCCATTTTGCACTCCCGTGATAGTAGCCACAAAATCCTTGGGCGGCGTTCTACCACTTCTATCCTTCATTCTCACGGTTGTGCCTTTACGTAGCAGGCCTTTCCTGATTTTTGTTCTCTCAGCTCGTTTCATAGATGCTTGTCGACGCGCTTCTTCGTTCATTTCTCGAAAACATACGCCGCACTTGTGGCAGTTCTCATGTGAATGGGCTTCGCAGACAAGAACCTTATGCCCATTGTCAATTTCAACAGTTTTGATTCCTGAAGCCATTATGGAAGGACTCGTTGGCGCAGGACCGGTGCGATAATCCGACGATCAAGAGACGAACGAGTCGTTTCGCTTTCACTGAACTGCCGCGGCTTCGAGGCGAAATGCCACTGCAGCTGGGGTTCCACCGCGATTTCTAGAAGATGTACAACATCGTGGTACAGTACACAGTACAGTGTACTGTTGCGGCAATTCTGTCGCGGGGCGCCGAGCGACCTGTAATGACGGGAATCCACCCGTATTCTTTTACTCCTCACAAGTCTGCTGCCTCCCCCTTCCTATCTTCGAGAATGGCTTCTTAAGTACACGTTCCCCGGGATGAGTCGGCTATCCCCAACCCTCCCTCCCGTAATTTCCCCTTCGATCCTTCGATCCAGCTTCCCCTTGCCCCACCGGTAGCCACCTCCTCGTGCCATTTTCCCTTCGCGCCCTCGGCCGGCGACCTGCGCGGTCTTTCTGCCCCAGCCCGAGCCCCGTGCGGCCTATGGTTTCCTTCGTCTCCCCGGTGGCTGGCACCCCCAATTCCCCGCGCGTGCTGTCTCGCTCCCTCCTTCCCGCCTTTCGCATGCCCGTCCTTCGGCGGTATACGGATGCGCTCCGCCCCGTGGTACGCGTGTCCAGCTCGCCACCTGGCAACCGAATGCCTCGTAACACACGTCCCATTTCCTTTGCCTCTGCGGTAGGACGTCTGAAAAGTCTACTCTTCTTCCCCTTCTCGAGCATGTTTTGTCCCGTGTGGACTATTGTCCAATAGATCAACGATGATCTCCGGCAAATCACTCTCCCGCGTCCATTTCGGAGACTTGCGCCCAGCCAGCTGCACCTTGAACCACCGCATCCTTTTTCCAGTTGCACGGTCAACCTCGATACGCGAGTCGTGCATGCGACGGAGGAGCCGAAGTCCATCAGGAAACACGCCATTTCTGGCATCCACAGTCTGACGGGCCGTTGGCGATATTTTGCGCATGCGGTTTGCGTGCACACGCGCCATCTTGTCCCCAATCTCGGATCGAAGTAGGTAGCTTACCGGCGACAATACCCGGTCTACGCAGTATGGACCCATCCAGGCCGGAATGATCTTCTTTCCTTTCTTCGAGGACAGCTCTGGAGACCAAACCAGGACGCGGTACCCGACCTCAAATTCCACTTCGGGCACCCCCTTGTTGTATTAGTCTCCTGCCTTGCCCCGCGCTTCCTTTCCCTTCTGGATAAGCCTCCGGTGTAAGGATTGGAGGTGTTTGCCGATATTATACAGCTCTCCCCCCACTCGCAGGCTCTCCTCAGTCCCCAAGGCCATAAAAGCCTGGTCGCCAAACATGGCCTCGTACGGCGTCATTCCAGTTGCTTCGTGCACTCCCGTGTTATATCGGAAACACGCGAGAGATACATGAGCGTCCCAATCCTCGCTCCCGATGCTTACGAAGCAGGCGAGGTCTTGAGCCAATGTCCTATTCCACCGCTCGACGCACCCATTCCCTTGGGGGTGGAGCGGTGAGGTAAGTACTTGCTTCACCCCTAGCTGCATCGTCATGGCTGCGACGACAGTGCCCACGAAGTTGGGGCCCCTGTCGGGAAGCATCGTCTCCATCGGTCCGAATATGGACACCCATTCGTCCAAAATCGCCCTTGCCACTGTGTTCGCGCGCTCATCGGGGATCGGCACTGCAGGCGCGAAGCGAGTGAAGGTGTCAATTATGACGAGGATCTTGATATTCCCGGACTCTGTTCGAGGCGTGACTTTCTGAATGTGGTACAACTCCACACCGCGACCCCCGGTGGGAGATGAGAACCCCCGAGACGGGCGGTTACTACTGTAGTAATCGTGCACGCGCCCGCTGCGAGCACAGTAGTACCTCCACGGCGTACACGTGACACAACCGTTGGCGCCGGCCGTGGCCACGGGCACACTTGTGCGACCATCCGGTAAGTAATTAGCAATTAGTGGTTAATGGCACAAATTAGCCAATTTAGTACAGTAGCTGGTATACAATATGTAACAGCTACTGTAGCGGGACAGGTGTCCTGGCGTCCCACTGAGGGGTTAAGACCAGGGGCACCTGCCCCGTTCCAGTAAACGGGGGCAGACTCGCCTCCCTTCCCTTTACGGCAAGTACTCTCCCCCTCGATCAGTGCGAAGCTCGGGCTTCTAACCCGTGACCGGCCGTCCGGATCTGACACCACCGACCGGCTGCGCGTCACCGGCCACGTGAGCCTTCCCTCTTTTCGAGTCCTTCCGTACGGTTCGCGCTCGCGTGGGTTACCCAGCGTCGCGCGCTCCCTTACCTCTAACCCCCCCTCGTTCCGAGTGGTCGGGACGAAGGTAGTTATACCACACTGAACGTCCACAGCAACTTGCTCGAACCTTCGCTCTGGGTGGTATTCGACCATTCGAGCTTGCTTTCCGGGTTTGCTGCTTTTGGCCGCAGCGCATGCGACGCAGCGCCCCAGCTTCTCTTTGACATCCCTTCGTAATCCTTTCCACCAGAACGCCCCATTGAGGCGCTTCATTGTCCGCCTCAATCCGTAGTGGCCACTGAGACGGGATCCGTGCACTTGGTCGAGGATGGGGAGACCAATTTCGGAGGGACCACTAATGCTGCTCGGTCGTATATCCGCTTGTAGAGAAGCCCCGTCTCACCAACGTGATACCAGTTTCTGCGCTGTAGCTGCGTACAAAGAGACATCTCCAAACTCCTCCCTTTGTGCTGCCTGCAAATCAGCGCTCGACGGGGCTCCTCCGAGCGGTCCGACGTCCATCAGAGCGGAGACAGCCTCCACAGCGGCTCCTTGGGGGATCTCCCTGAAACATCTCTGACACAGCGGTTTCTCGACAGCGTCCGTACTGAGGGCATCAGGGACAACAAGCGCGCTCCCGGGTGCATACTTCACTGTAAAGTCGAAGTCCTGGACGTCGACCATCCATCGGGCGAGCCTCCCGCGCGGGTCTTTTAAGCTCATCAGCCACTTGAGCGAGCAGTGGTCTGTGATGACAATAATGTAAAACCGCCACTTCCGGAGTGCGTGTACGACCGCCAGGCACTCCTTCTCCGTCACGGTGAACTTGCGCTCTGCTGCCGTAAGCTTGCGGCTTGTAAATGAGACAGGAAGCCACTTCTAATCCCTGCTCATCTGCAACAGAACTCCTCCCAGTCCGTACGAGCTCGCATCCGTCATCAGATTCTTCCTAGCTCCCGGCCTCGGCAGCGCCAGCACATCAGGGTTGCTCAGAGCATCTTTCAGCTCTTTCCATGCCCTCTTCTGCCTTTTTCCCCAGCGGCAATTCCAGTCCAGGATTACAAGCCGCTGACCTCTCCCTATTTTTGATTGAAGCCTGTCCCTTTTAGAACTTCATGTAAGGGAGCAGCGATCTCCGCGAAGTGGTCTATGTATTCT